ACCAAGCGCCAGTTTAAACTGACCAGGCACACACTTGACGATAATGTAATTGCGGTGGTTTCTTTAGTAATTAGTAGTGGTTTACAGTAAATTGTGGAAGTTTGACATGTATAACATTAGTCCTCGATGACCATATGTACTTTGTGACGTCATTCTATATGGTCCTTCTCTATCTGTGACCTTCGGTACATAACCTGGTCAGTGCTTAACTCAAGGTGCACGTGTGGTTTCATTCCCCCCCCCCCTTGCTCCTGTTATCCTCCCAATTCTCCCTAAAGACCACGTTGATTAACTCTAAATCTTATGTTACACATCACAACAGACCGTCTGGTAACTTTACCTTCCGTCCTACCCGTACTGTATTCTCTTCCGCCGAGGGGGGGGGGGGGAAACGAGGACAATAGGAGGGTTAAGAGGGATTTCTTCATATTAAATTAAAATATTGTCTGGCAGACATTGAAATGAGCAGCTGAATAAAAGGGCAATCATTCAGTTCTGTGATTGAACAATGATCGATGCAATGAGCAGTAAATCAGTCAAAAGCCGGCATCACATTTGAAATGCTCGCACAGTTGCACAGTGCAACCATTAAAGTAGGTGGTGCATGAAATGAAGTTCCTAAAGGCAGAGAGGGCACAGGACAACTTTTTGGCAGGAAGGCAACATTGCCAAAGGGGTTTTTGTATCTTCTCAGTGCCATTAAAGGCAGGATACCTTTCAGCTGTTTTAACAGTAGGCCTATGCCACGCTCTGCACGCTATCAGTTTAAATGCTGATAGATTTGGTTATTTGAGTTTGACTGATAAAACAAAGCAGCACTGTGGTATAAAAACCTTATCTCTGTATGGGACATGAAGAAAAAAAAAGGTTTCAAGATCACTCCCAACCAAGCAGAGCTAACAAAACAACAGATTGAAATATTGAAACGATAGGAAGTGTCAACAGCTGGATTAGAATACTGAATCAAAAATGCCAAAAACAAAACAGACCAATGAAACCAGATGGAAAAAACAGGTAAAAACTAAAGCAGGTAAACCAGAGCGTTTCAGATTACAGTGTATTATAATTGAAGGCCATCCCAGTGTTTCTATACTCCATTTACCTCTGAAGCGTCTACTTTGCACTTGCTTGGCTGCCTCTTGTGGGCTTCCTTACTTACTATGAAAGAGAATTAAGTGACGTAGGATAAAGATGGGTAAAGTTCGCTTAGGGAAAAGGTTGGGTTGGAAACACAGAAAGACCTCTGTTCATGTTCTGCGTATGTCATTCACAAAAGTTATCTAACTGATTGCTTAACTTTTACCATTGTACATACTTAACTAACACATACTTAATTTGTGTGTGCAATTTAACTGATGTAACAAACATACTTATTTATGACCAAACCATGACCTTTTTCTAAAACAAGCATTTACGGGACATACTTATCTTACGTCACGTACGTAGCGTTATGTTGAGGTCTATCGGACTACTCTACGCGTTGAACAAAATATATATGCTATTACTCTATTCGGTACCTCGTGCGTTTAAAAGTGATCTGACCAAACGCAACATAGGTTATTGCAGACATGTTTGCTGTTTCTCCTGTGCAGTCATGAAGATGGGACATTTTGAACTTGCCAATAATCTTGTGCTTTTCGGAATTTATGTGACAACCACGCTTCACACAGCGAAAAGGATGGAAGCAGCTGTACCGGAAATAAAAAGGAGATGCCTGGCGAAGAGATTGATATACTGTACACAGAGGGGGGGGGAGTAATGTTAGCGACCGTTCATCCGTCAGTAATATAATGCATCAACATCGTTATGGGCAATATTTCATCTGTGTGTGTTTGCTTCTAGATCACCAACATGGAGGATGATCCTAACTGGTACACAGCTGAGCTCCAAAATAGGAAAGGCTTTGTGCCAAAAAACTACATCAACCTGCGGCCACACGCGTAAGTACACACAAGCAGATGAATATATTTTGAACGTCTAACACTGGTCTATCTAAACAACTCATCAGTGAGTGTTTGCCGCTCCGAGCGTTTTTCTGCTCTGCTTTGGACATCTGCACTCCGGCATAAGGCAGCCTACCCAAAGGGACACACTCACTCGGTGCCTTACGTAATCACACATGATACAGCCGTGTGTGTGTGTTCAGTAAGGCTGCTGGTAGTACACACTGTATCTCCATCAGATGGAAATACACCAGCTGGGTTCAACTTTGTGTTGGGACAAACACTAAACATTGCAGCGGCTTGTTAATGCACATTCCAGTTGGAGCTGCTTAGTTAACTTTGTGCATAGCGTGAGGAGATGTGCCGTCTAAGAGTGCTTTCCCTCCTCCGCATTTCCTCACTGAGACAGAATTCTGACCCCATGACCTCCACCAAGAGAGCACCGTAGTGCATCCTCCATATTCAATGTGCTTTCCCCTCATTTGAGCCATCAATCTGCCTGCAGAGCACAGGCCCGTGAAAGCAGAATGTCATTTATGCAAACACTGCATCCAAACAAACTGCTCTACTAAGCAGGACTAATGAGCGAGAAAAAAAAATGAAAAATGGCGCCATTACTTACGCCACACGGCTGACAACTCAAATCCAGCATTTTAGGATTTTCTTCCTGTGTGGCAGTGTGTTTAAAAATAACTTCACAAATGTGCTAATTTTACACTGTTTCCCTCTAAAGCTGTCTTTTTGCCTTTGTCAGCATTCATCTCTATTGCTGTGAGCTATTTTTAAGTCTCAGCATTTCCGTTGAAAATACAAACATCAAAAGTTTAGATACCAAATCAAATCGTTTATTAATTACATTACATTACATTATTATTACATCTTCGGGCGCAGACTGAAAACTCATCTCTTTCGACTCCACTTCGATCGATAGAACTATTAACAAAGCACTTATATACTAATAAAGGGCTGGCTTATCTAAAGCCAGTTGAGTAGCACTTGAAATGTTTTAGCTCTATGAAACCTGATGTACTTATATGATTCTGTTTAGAACCACGCAGTTCACATGCATTAAACAGAAACATCAATGACTTCTTTCTTCCTTTCCATCTCTGCTTCCTGTTTTCTTTCTTGCTCCCAGCTGGTTTGCCGGTCGTATATCTCGCGGTGTGGCAGAAAGTCGACTGAAACACAGGGAGTGCGGGGCTTTTCTGGTCCGAGAGAGTGAGAGCGCCCCTGGAGAGTTCTCCATGTCCGTAAGGTAGGAAATAAAGGATTTGGACATTTTAACATTTTGAGAGCTGATCATAGATGGCCCTCTATTCACCACTTTGGCCTATGTATTCTCTCCATGCATCCATGAGAAGCAGCTGTCAACATGAAGATACTTATTCCCAAATTGCTCCCTATGGCATGTCCAATAGTATGGCGCCGGTGATGATGGCTGCCGTGTATTTGGCTCCTCTCCAACTCTACCTTTCTCTCGTTTTATTTCAGTGTTTGTTTACATTTCATTGTGTGCTTTTAACTTTGTCCGCAACATGCGAGATTGTATCTGTTTTATTTGTTCTATGTCCTATATTCATGTTGCACTGTTAGAGGGGCCTGTAATCTATGTTTTTCATTGCCATATCCACACTGAAGCTACAGTAGTCCACATTACAAGCCTTGAATCTTGTGTGTATGTTATTCTCCCTGAGCAGACTAACAGTCACACACATTCAAACCTTGTATGGCAGCCTATGTCTCTGTATGACTGGTGTGATTAGCCGATACAAATGCAGTACATTCACCAGTTGACCTAATGTATCTGTCGCTTGTTTGATCAATATTAAAGTTTGCGAGTGTGCATAGACTTGTGTTGGTGCCAGGGGATCAGAGGAGCGGGCAGAGGGGGATAAGATGTGGGGAGGAGGAGGGTAAGAGGATCTGCAACAACCCCTCTGGCCTGATGTGTGCTAATCCCGTCTGGCACACCGCGGCATCTGGAGCTGCTGATGGGGCCGATCGGCTGTCTTGTCCGGGTGATAGCAGACAGGGGTGCAGCTGAGGTTTGGTGTTGTGCTCCTGGGGGATATGAGGATAATGGAAGTGGAGAGTCTGGGTGTGTGTGGGGGCCAGACCTGGAAGAGAGGGTTGGCTTTTCTCTGTGCTGCCAGGGCTGTCAGACAAACTGGCTTGAAATCAGGGGTCGAGAGTTGGATTTGTGGGTTGGTTTGGGCATGATATCTCTCTCCAACTGGATTCAGGAGAGGCCTTTGGAAGCATTAGGGCAGGAAAGGAAAGCAGGTTGCAGCATTAAGGGAATCAAAATGGAAAATAACAGAGAAGGACAAACATAAACAGGTTTGCCAAGAGAGGATTTTGAAGCTACTTGTTTGTTGATGCTTACTGGCTGTTGTTGCTGGATGTTGTAGACGCTTGAAAATTGGGTCAGGTGTTTAGTGTGTGTGTGTGGTCCTTGTGTGCTGACAGCTCTCCTGTCGGAGGAGACATCCTGACAGCAGTAACTGCGAAAACTTCAGCCCGACTCAGCTTGGCTAGGCTTTGACGTCAGTCCTTGAAAATTCCACTTCCACAGCCATGAATGGAGCCAAGAGTGCTGGTGAAGTTAGAAATCCGGAAGAGGAGGTTATGCTTTTGGTTTGTTTGTTGGTTTGTCTTTTCTGTCCCGAGGAATACAGAAAAACTACGTGCCGAATTTGTATAATACTACAAAGGAAGAGCCATTAACTGTTGATGTGAATCACAGGGCGGATACACGCATTATTTCGCCCTTAAGAAAATGGCCTTGCATTAAGTCTGCACTCTCCGAGTAATCATTCAATTTCCGAAATAATTTGGTTGTCGTAAATCGGTTTTATTGTCACCTTAAAGTCAAGGAGGACGCCATTATTCATTTTCATAGACATTAATGCATCCTTAAATCACCTTAGTAGTCCTTGTGGAAGTATTTCATGGTGTTGAAGGTGCACCGATGTTAGGATCGGTGTTATTTAAGGATCATCGTGGGGTGATAAATAATTATATTATTCAAGATTATTTGTCAAAAACATTCACCCATGGTGACCTTGCTATTTGTGTTGATTTGTTTTTTAAGTTGCTCCTTTGAACTATCAGAAAGCTCTTCAAGGGTTAATGAACACAACACATCCAGCTAAGTCTGTCTTCATTTAACTTGTGTATTTTCTGTTTCTTGGAATAAACATAGTGTACAAGAATATACTTGAATTTATCTATAAAATATCCAACAATGAAGAACGCACACACAGGTTCCTAAAACATTTTTTTTTAAATAACAAGGACTAAACCTCAGATTTTTTGATGTCTGTAGTGTAGACGGGCGTGTCTGAAGCTTGGCGATTTTTTGCGAGCAACGCGACCAACAACCAATCACATGAATCTCCCGCCCCCGACATACAAAGCAATAGCAATGTTAAAACGAAGTAAACTGGATATAAACTCTCCAAACAGGCGAAAAACCTACCAGTTTCACCCACTGTCTCTGCCACCTCCCTCCATGCCTGGTTCCTCCGGTTTGGATCCCGGTAAATAGTTCTGGTCGTAAAGAACCGGGTGATTTCCTACCGTAATTTCTCGTTTGGAATATGAGGAAATGAACTGCGGTCTGGCTCTCCCAGCTTGCACGCGGTTTGATTGGCTGCGCTTGCACTAGCGGGATTTGCATAAACGGGATTTGCATAAACGGGATTTGATTGGCTGATGCCGATAGATGCTCGTGATGCTTGCAAAGCCATGCCATGCTCCCCACAATGCAGTTCGGCGAAGATTAAAAATCTTCTACGTCACCCCATTCAAGTGAATGGGCGAAGCGTTGAAAGCATTTTTCGATGCCTGTAGTGTAGACGGGCCACTTCAAATGGTTCACAGAAAGATGTATCGCCGCGGACCGACTAGAGGGATAATATGTTTAAGCAGTTTCTTTCCAGAATACTTTCTGAAAGGTGGTTATGAAAGAATATGTGGTTGGGGAATAGCTTCAGACTGTGCCAGAGGAACTGTCCCAATGGGTTATTTAGTAGCTTATTTTTGGAAAGTGGAGCAAAGTGAACATAGACGTTTATAAAGAGAGATGAGGAATCTATTTTGCTTAGCTAGGCTCTACCACAATGCTGTCATATAGATCCAGTTGGGGAAAAAAAATTCTGAGGAAAAGGAGCTGAGGTATCAAAAAAGTCCAAAAGCAGCATGTGGTAAACCTGTGTTTTGTTGCTGCAGTATTTCGCAACACTGGCAAGGGACATGCTTTTTCCTTTTCTCAAATGGAAAATCTGACTTCCTTGTTCACACTACCACAATCACTATCAATATCCGACCACCCACACTTTAAACTCACAGCCGAGCGAAGCAAATGTAAAAACTGTGCACTGTCTCTGTGAGTCATCAAAAGACATTCTAAGAAATCAGTAACCGTGGAAAAAGCAGATGGCGCACACGGGGGAAAAAACAGGTTCACTCGAACATAATCACAACCCAATATCTGAAGCTGAAAAGCACTTTTAATTATTTTAGTTCAGGTTGTTTTTTGGGGTTTTAACTACCTTTTTCGCCCCTGAATTGGTACCAAATGTCTTTAATTTGTATTGTCTTTCGGTCAAACTCTAAAAGCAGTTGCTGATTCTTTTTGGTTGCAGGATGTCTCGTCGTGTGATAAAGCTCAAGGTTGTCTCGCCACAGCTCAGTCCTCGACAGTTTGCTATCTGAACAGTATGGTGTTCTGCCCACGCATGCAGACACATATACACAGCACTCCATTTCATTGTGATCTGGTCTGTCTGAACCTAATGTATGTCAACAAATTAGATGTATTTGAAACATTGTGTGGTTTCTTGGCCTTATGTCAACTTTTATACAACGTTTTCAGCCACGGTAAAAAATCCTTCTGGCCCACTAAAAGCATTATTAAATGTGGCATACTCTCAAATGCCCACTAAAAACAGACTGAGCTGTTTCTCTTGTATTGTTTAAATTCAGCATTGATGCCACCATATTTGACATGGCCCTCAGATATCACTGACTTATGCTGCCAATGCCTGATGGCTCACAATAAAGAGCTGACTTGACATCAGTCATCATTAGTCTCTTGTCAGGGTCACTTCTTCAAATGGGAACCATAAAGGGAACTGACCCTTTAGGCCAGGGGTGTCAAACTCAATTTCATCGTGGGCCACATTCGCATAAAGGTTGCACTCAAAGGGCCGGTTGTAACTATATAAATATATATATATATATAAGATATTGTATTATATTACATTATTGCCTCTGAATTTGATTATTATCGGATAGGATAATAACTTAGTCATTAACTATGTCTGAAAGCAGAAGTCCAGGGCAAATAATTGCAAGTCTCTTCAGTGTGCATGTCACAAAACGAGATGCATTGTGGGACATGTAGTTTATGGGCAAACTGCTTTTGTAAAGTGGCATGTAACCGTATAATAAACGTAATATATTCTTTGCAAGCTCTTGCGGGGCCACATAAAATGAAGTCGCGGGCTGGATTTGGCCCCCGGGCCTTGAGTTTGAGACCCCTGTTTTAGGCTATGCTTATTTTACAGCCACATAGCTTCTTCAAGCTTTAAGTAACACATTAATGGTACTTTAGAAAGAGGAGTGCTTTAAAACAGTTGAATGAGTCTACTCTAAATGAATACATCTGGACAAAATGTTGAACAAAATGGCGGATAAGTGAGTCGCTTAAGTTGCGCAACACTATTTGTGAATACAAATATGTTGCTGGCAGTAATTTTTCATATCCTTTAAGTTCATGTGTCCTTTACTGTAAGTGTTGCTTTATGCACCTTCAGGTCAATGAAGGAAAAGATAACATTTTGGAAACATATTGGCTCTCTTATCAACATCTAGCTTAGTTTAGCTTAGCACAAAGACAGGAAACAGGAGAAACAGCTAGCCTAGCTCTGTTTGATGGTTACAAAATGTATAGGCCAGCATTTCTAAAGCATGCTTATAAACATGCTTCCTTTGTACAGAAGCTAGCTATTTCCCTCTCTTTCAGCCTTTGTGCTAGGCTAAGCTAACCACGATGAAATTGAAATTGATCTTCTTATCTTACTATCGGGAAGGGTGCTTGATGATTTAAAAAACCATCCCAGAAAAATAAAGCTGAACCAACTATTGTATTAAACAGTCAATTCTGTTTCATTGTATTATTATTTTTAGATCAATGCCACTACTTTGAACAAAGAGAATAATGCACTGGTCTTCTTTTTAGGCTTCCAC